GGGTTTTGGGAACTTCGTGCGATTTTAAGCCCATACAGTGCTAAACAGGGTCCGACAGGTTTGCAAAATGCAAAAATCTCGGCAACTAAATTTTGGTGAGACACCGCCTTTAACAGTATTTCTAAAATTATCCAGACTGAGACATCGGCGGCTCAACATGAGTAGCCTTGCGCTCATGTTATGACCCATAAATTTCATTCAAAGAAATTTATCGCCAACGCTTTGCTTAATTCAGTAGTAATGCTAGTGCATTCTATTAGCAATCTTGCAAAAACATTCAGCTGTTCAGTACGGAGAAAATCAGAAAATTTTGTATTTGGAACTTTAAGGCATACTGGAAAAAAGGTTATAAACTCTGGCAATTTTGAAGTGTAATTCCTCTTCGCAAAACTATTTTGTTCAAACCCTTTCCATCGAATTTTGTACTAGTGGCTTGCGGCTACAAGGAAGGCCACTTATCATTTATACTAACATATTTTTGAAGGAAGTTATGATCAAACCTGCCATACACGACTATGTAGCTCTGAGCTCTAGGACGTTGCGCGTCCGCAGCCGAAGGGTCTTTCGGCGCGTGTACTCGACGCGATCACCCAACATCAACTGCCCATACACAATGCAAGTCTAGTTTAAGTAAATCCGTACACTAAATAACAGAACATAAAATACATTACAAAGCTAATTATCTGCAAGGCTACTAGCCTAAAAAGAAATAACTAGGATAATGCCGAGCCGAGTCGTCCCGTGCTGTCGAAACTTTCAAGGCTCAATCAACCTATGGGATGTCTAGATTCCCCCACAGGGTCCGCTTCTAGAAGAACTGGTCCATATAGAACGGCATGACCCCAACTCCACTCCTGCATCCTTGATCGTCCACTAACTCAAGGAAACCGTTTCTGCGCTCCTGCGCGTCGAATACCCGAAACATCCAACTGATTGACCGCTCAAAAATTCTTATCATGCGAAAACCACTGAAAAGAGGCCAAGTATGCCAAGAGAACAATTAATCAAAAACGTAGCCAAAAAACGAGGGGTGCTCTCACGCGTAGCCTTATATACTGCGCCACTTCTCATCGTTCCCAGCCGGAATAGCCCTGCGGCGGGCACATGAGGCGAGAGAGGTAAACGCGGCATACAGCGCTACCGGTACCTGTTCCAAGGAGTTGCTCTGCATCTCGAAGCCGCGACACTTCTCGTTTTCAATGAAGCTTTGGAGTACGCAAATTGTGAGGTTTCTTATCAAATTTTATGTTTTACCGTTTGCAAAATTCTCACGAGCAATATGTGTGCATACGAATAACTAGCAGTGTTTTTGTTGTAGGAAGCTGCAGAGAAAAAATGCAAGCCTTTTTAAAGGATGTTCTTATTATTTCTACCACAATTTTAAAGAAATCATTAAAAAAATCTATGTCAAGAGCGATAAAATAATTTCTCCGTTCCATATTACATGGCAGAAATGCGCTCTTTTCAGACAGATATTGTCCTCTCTTCCAGATGTGCCCATGGTGGAAATAAAGCGGGGCACCTAACATGTGCAGTATTGAAAACAAAACTTGATTGAAAACATTTAAGGCCTCAAATTTATGGAAATTTTTGACAAACCTTCATTGATCCGAGGGACTCATGTATCATTCAAATTTTACTATCCATGTGAAATATCCACATCTATTCAAGGAACACCCAAGTATTTCAAAATTTACTTTTTGATTTGCTAAAAAACGCTCTTTTTTCAGCTCGATTTTATCCAATTCAATCTAGTAGGTGGAAATCGAGGGCACCAGATGTAAAAAAATTGCAGAAGGTAAAATTGCATTCAATACGAACTAAAAATTTGATGCTCTTATGCTTGATTACGAAACACCAATTCTCTCAGCTGAAGTCTCGTGTAATCGTCTTCATTAATAACTGAGACCAGTTAAAGCACCAATAGTATTAACGCGAAAAAAAGCTGCAACAAATGCACTTTTATAAGCGACAAAAGTTTCGCGGATATGCCGCATCAGAAATAAAAACGTGTTGGTGCGATCTATTGAGGCTGATTTAAAATTGCATTTCAATTCAATGGACATATTTTCATAGCAGTGTACTTTTGTAGATGTGCAACGAAAATGACAGCCACATGAGGGACTGAAATAATGTAGGTAGTATCAAATGTAGACAAGAATGTATAGGTTTGTTATTGCTTGCAAAGCTTATGTTCCAGGTTTTTGTTGGCGGCACAAAAGCAATATTCTAAACACAATGATTTGCTATGAATGTTTTGAAACTGAAATGCTAAGCTACCAAAAAAGCGAATTGTGTTTTGCAAAACTTATAACGGTGTTCAGCCAATAAAAAGATCTCATGCATGGGCACTTTCCACGTAAAGAATTCTGAATAGTGCGATTTTTGTCGAAAGATTATAGAAGCAAAGAACAAGGATAAAAAACCCTCCAGTCAGTTCAAGCGCATTTTCCGTAAAGAAGAAAAGGGAATGAGCTTGAGGGGCACAAACCATTTAGACGTGAAATCCTTGTAAATAAATCATTAAAGCGAAAAAAAACCCATAAGTAAATGCAAGTACATTTCCCGTGTAAATTCGTAAAGAAGAAGGGTTTGCCTGAAAGACACTGATCATTTAGGGTGTTCCAAAAAGGCATTGAACGTTTGATTGATAACTCTCATGTCTATATAGCTTTCGTGTAACAATTGGCATGATGCTACAAAGCTGGTCTCGACTTGACTTGAGATAGAAATTATTTTTTTTAATTTTCTCTTCATTAACAAATCAGAGACATATCTTCGTTAGAGTAAGATGACGGTAAGAACTCTTGGATAATGGCGCAAATAAGTTCAGAATGTGCTAAAACTACCAAAAAAATGGAAATTTTCTGCCAAATCAATAAGCATAGCTAATATTGTGTATGAGCTTTTCGCCTCACTGTTATCTTTAGTCTAAAGGCGACAAATATGCCTCAATATCGACCACCTGTGCCGAGCCCTGGACATATCCAACGTGATACCCTGATACCTTCACCTTCAAACAAATTAGCTGTTGTTTAAGGAGATCTTTAGAACATCCAATCCTTGAAACATACCAACGATTATACTATGCTCTACAGACATGAACATATTCTCTAGAAGTTGAGTTAATACCGTCACAGAACTTTTTGGACGTTCTGAAGAGTTTCTTAACAGCAGCTGATTGAATTGAAGATATGACAAGTTCCTCTCGTACTCCTACAATGACAAAGAGCCATGAGTGATTTATTTCTAATCGCAGATCCAAGATGAATCAGCTTTACAACATGTTACTTAGAGATTTGAGAAAGCCGTCTAGACAAGAGACTGTTAAGGGTGAAACATTCGATACATTTTTTTGATATCATATTGGGAAGTTACTGGTGAAGACTGTGTGCTTGTCTTTGTTTGCTCTAACTCTAAGGCCTTCAGAGTTTTTACTCTGTCTGTAATTGATTAGAAAATACCAAAGTTTGCATGTTAATATATTTCATTCTCTCACTTAAAAGGGTAGGAATGTCGGTCAAAGTAGCCTTTTAGGATGAGATGTAAACTATCCTATAGAGCTTGGAACGCTGATTCGAAATCTAAGCGTCTTCTTTTAGTTCATGCTCGTTTATATTTTCCCTTCTTTTTAACAACGGTCCTTATCCCAGAATTCTTCTTTGCCTCTATAAACAATCTTTTTACTCAGAAACTGCCCTGCTCAAAAGCTTTTAAGAATCATGGATAACGTAATAGACAAACAAGAAATTTTCATTCGTTTTGATCAAATTGTAAGCTATAGCTGCTCTTATACTGCTACATCTGTTTCTGGTGAATTTCGGATGCATACGATGACTTAATCATGAAATTAGCCTTCACGTGATGTCAACGATGCGGAGGCGAAAACTGTTGTGCTCAGATACTTGAAAAAGTCTAAGGTTGGCATGTGGAGTTCAAAATCAAATCTAACGTTCTTGCCGACGTGATTTACAACTTTATAGAGAAGATTTAAGAACCAGCCGAACCAGCCATTAGCACTTCTCCCCATCCGAAACAACCGTCTTCGTACTCGATTCGTTTCCTCGTAAAACTTTGCCTAAAGAATAAATGAATATGTGCGCGCGGAACTTTATAAAAAAGTTCATTTTAGGCACTAGATGAGTAAGAAGCCGTTTCAGATCACTCAGTTTTGATATGTTTCGAGATGCAGATCATAGATCCGTGCCAGCAGGTTCTACCGCAGAAATAAGCCGCAGAAAATTGGACAGTCAGGCGAAGGAGATGATAGGACGAGTGAGAACATTCTTCACCAAATTGAAGCGACAGCTAGGAGAAGAATCCACTGATACCATCTTTAACGCGCCAGCTCAGCTTACAGCATTGGCTTGCAGAATCTCGATTCGCGCAGTGTGGAAAGTCACAAGATAGGGCAGTATCAACGAGCCAGAAAGAACGACACAACAAGAGGTAGCAAGAAGGAGCTGATGAACAGCCGCTATGAAGTATGGAGAGCAGTGCCAGATCGTACGACATGCCATTCACGAAAAGTTACGAGAAGAGAGTGTGACTGTTGAGGAGATGCGAAAAGAGCTTCAAGAAACCTGTCCCTGTTTGTCCTTCAAAATGTGCTTTGGGGCATTCAACTATTTTGTCAGAGGTTTGGGATTTTCGTATAACATAAACAGAAACCAACTTATTATTCACGAACGTCCCGATCTGATCCACAAAAGAGCGTGTACCTCTCAGCTATGGAAGCGACAAAAAATCGGCAGTTGTCTCGTCTTTTGGACGAGACATGGGTATTTGATTCAATGACAAGAAATAGAGGATGAAATAACAATACCATTCCCCTTTTTGCCTCGCCTCAACGCTGGGTGAATATTCCTGTGGTAGAGCTGCGGCAAAGAATAATAGACGTGCCATAGTCATAGGGCCATCATAAAAAAGGGGCGGTCTCGGAATCAACTAAAGTGATTATCAATAGAGTCAGGGATGTGCATGACGATTAACACCGGGACATGGATGCTGTGGTGGTTGAGAACTGGCTGCGAAACGCCATACTCCACATGGAGACGATCGCCGGTGGTCGTCCCGTCGCACTGATTATGGATAACGCTCCATACCATAGCCGACAAAAGGAGAAGGTGCATGCATCAGAGGTGCCTGATTACACACACATTCACCCCATTCAGGTCCCTACCCGTACTTCAAGAAAATCAAAGATTGAAGAATATCTCAGGAAGAATGGCGTAGCAGTTCCGGCAAACACCACGAAAGATCAGCTTTTAGTTGAGATAGTTCTTCTTCTTCTTCCAATTCTTGACTCCCATGAAGCGTCTTTGCTTCAGCTTCAAAATTTCATACAAAGCCGCGGCGGCTTAGGTGCTGTGCGCACTAACGTCGCTGTTTCCATCTGCGGCAAACATGGAATTACAGTGATACAAGGCTTCTGCCTTATTACGTTTTTCTTTAGTTCCATTGAATTATGTTGGAGTCAACTAAAAGCCCACCTCTGCAAGGTGGGGAACGGAACTTAGGTCCCCTGACAGCCAACTGAGATGTAATTTTTGGAGGTCATGAGTTATCAATAACGATAATTAACACATCTGCAGAGCGCATGCTAGGCCCCGCCTCTATCCAGATACCTTTCGCAAACTAGCAGAGGTCCACCAGGACGTGCCCCGTGATAATGAAACGGGGATTTCAAACGAAATTGAAATGCAAAGTTTAGTATCGAAATTTCGCCAAACAAAGTGAAAACTTGGATTTAGGCGTTTTCAAGTACGCTCTTTTCAAATATGGAAATCCCATCTGCCTCAAAGCTCACCACGGACCGCTTACTAAGAATGAAACAGGGAATTTCATACAAATTGCATTTGAAAATTCAGTATTGAAGTTTCACCAAACAGAGTGAAAACTTGGACTTAGGGGTTTTCAAGTACGCTCTTTCCAAATATGTAGAGAATTTTTTCATAAGAACATGTACAAGGTTTGTAAAAAAATTCAATTTTTTTGTATCAAATTTCAACCAATTCAAAAAAAAACATACCGTAGATATCTGAGAATTTCATCATATTCGCTAGTGGAATTATTTTGATGCTTCACCGTTCCAAGTATCAAAATTTTTACAGTGGCAAATTCCATGAAAACAAAATTACGCTCAGGTAAGTGATAATGAATGGAACAAAGACATAGAGACACCATGATCACAGTTCGTCCAGCCATGGACAATAATTTGAGGTGTGAACAGGAATCCGATCTTACTGCCTGTAGCAATGAGCAGTTACTCATGGCAAAACAAGGTTAAAAATGTGAAATTAGGCGATTTTATGCCAAAGAAAGGCTGAAAAGGCGGTTCAGGCGACAGTTTTCGTATAAATACCAGAAGGATTTGACAATCAAGTCACTTATCGTGCAGATAATCTTATCATGTCGTATGATAGCTTTTTCAACTTACAAATGCTGCAGTATATGCAGCAATTCTATCTAAATGTGGATTCCAGCCTATCATTGCCATCGGAATTGGAAACAGAGGTAATAGAAAATTATTGCAGCAAGATGTCAAAATTCGTATCGGAGAAGACCATCTAATTGTAAGTTCATTTGCTGAGCCATATGTGAATATATAGATATATAGAGATAAAATAATTATATGAAATATATGAACACAGACTAATATGAAAGAATTGAACACAGTAATCTACCGTCACATCCTATGGACTTGCCTGAAGCTGTTTGACCCAAATTAATTCCGTTCACAATGCACTGCATTGAAAAAATCTGTTTGTGTTTTTTTGAATTGGTTGAAATTTGATACAAAAAAATTTTTTTTACAAACCTTGTACATGTTCTTATGAAAAAATTCTTTACATATTTGGAAAGAGCGTACTTGAAAACCCTTAAGTCCAAGTTTTCACTTTGTTTGGTGAAACTTTAATACTAAATTTTCAAATGCAGTTTATATGAAATTTTCTGTTTCATACTTAATAAGCGGTCCGTAGTGAGCTTTGAGGCAGATGGGATTTCCATATTTGAAAAGAGCGTACTTGAAAACCCCTAAATCCAAGTTTTCACTTTGTTTGGCGAAATTTCGATACTGAACATTGCATTTCAATTTCGTTTGAAATTCCCGTTTCATTATCACGGGGCGCGTCCTGGTGGACCTCTGCTAGGTTGCGAAAGGTATCTGGATAGAGGCGGGGCCTAGCATGCGCTCCGCAGATGCGTTAATTATCGTTATTGACAACTCATGACCTCCGAAATTACATTTCAGTTGGCTGTCAGGGGACCTAAGTTCCCTCACCCCTGCAAGGTGGGAAATGGCGGCACCTTGGAGCTGGCAGGACCCACTAACTGTCAACTTTTTCTTGGTTGGGGTAGAATATCTAGGTAAGAACAAGAACGATAAAGTGGATGAATGAATGACTTTCCTTCAACACTAAGTAGCGGCTGATTTAGGCACGTTGCTGGCCAGGAGGACGCAGCGAGCGCTGTGGATCTAGCCAGCAACAACATTAACAGAGACCTCCCACCGTTAGACGAGTCTTTCTCCGATGAGGAAGTCTTAGTTGAAATAGACGACGTAATGGAAGATCTCTCAGACTTCATCAAATGATGTGTACATAGATGTGAATTGCATTTAGCCCATTTTCATTTCCATAGCCCCCTAGTTGTTCCTAGAATTGCTCTTGTTTCACTTTCATACTACTAAAGTACGGTACATTCGACCATCAAAATATCTTCATTACGTGTCCCCTATAATCGTTCCCATTCCATCTGTACGTCTCACTTACATTTCAAGAAGTAATTTCAAAATGCCTCGTCTTTCATGTAAGCTCTCACTTACTTTCTCACATTTCAATACATTTCAATAAAAATAATGATGCTGAAAATCTTGTTTCATAATCAAGATAAACTCTCAGCCAAAGGAGTTTAGTTCGTAGCAAATGAGAAGACAATGTAATAAAAGCGACTCACGGCATCTATATGAATTTGAGACATCACAAGTGCAGTAACAGTAAACGTAGAAAGAACGAGATAGAAATATTGTCATTTTCTTTTCTTGCATGCACAAACTGAGTTTGTCTTGACATAATGGACTTCTCTTTCCATAAAGAAGTGAAGACCCGTTGTGCGGCACACAACTCGAAGACCTGAGATACAGTATAAAAACAAGGGCTGCAGCGAATAGTAACCATGCTCGATGTGAGTAAGTCAGAAGCAATATATGCTGCCTCAAATAACATGCAATGGAAAATGGTGTCGATAGCCACTTGTTCGGCAACATAGAATGATCCGCTGATATAAGTCAGCAGGCAAATAGGTAAGACATTAGAAAGACAAAACAACTCACCGAGAAACGATTTTCCACGCATGTGTATAGTATTATTTCAGCCAGTAGTCAAGATTTTCAAGAATTTTTTATTGGTTAACGTTTCGGCGATTTCGCCTTCGTCAGAACCTGGAAGGTGGAGTAGAAGCATTCTTTTTCCTCAGACGTCAACGAAAGAGTCAGGGTCGTATTCCAGTGGTTACGGTAGACAAACCAACCTTAGATGACAACAAGGCACGAGAGCTGTAGCAAACACGTTGTAACAAGACAAGCTCCTCAGCTCTTTTTATTTGTGCTAAGATTCGAATCCACATAAGAATTGATAAGCTGATAACTCTTGCGTTATGGACAGTGTTTTGCAAATCAGCTTGTTTCAAGCAACGGCGGACTGATTGCTAAATTCATCAGCGATGTTTGGCCACAGAACGGTATTTTATTCTTGTCCTTCTGGTCAGATGGGTAGCGTTTGTAACCGCGCGCTGTTTCAGACTTTTTGCCTACGTAGCCATTTGATTTTGCGATTTTGTCTGCGATAGCGATAGAATGCAAACGTTCTTCACGACTAGATGATACTCGGGTGCGGATAAGTTATGTATCAAGATATTTTTGCTAAATTTATGGTACCATTTAGTTTTATACTCTCCGCTTAACAGGTGAATCTCGACGTTAAGGTATGCCAGCCATTCTTCGTTGGGCCTCTCACGCGTAAATTTGATGCTGCAACAAAACAACAGAAATTTTGATCTCCCCAGCGTCACGTAAATTTACATACAATCATATCAAGCAACATGGATAAGGCGATAACAGAATATCATCTGAAAGACACTAGTTTGTATGTACTATCTTCTTCCAATGAGTGTAGACGACAATATCGCCGCCTGAACAAGGTGTGGCAAGACACTGCTCGGTCCATTGGGTTAGCTAAAAGCATCGTCAAACGTCTGAAAAACGATCTGTCTGCCTGTCTTGTCCTATACACCTCAATCAAAACGCATAAACCTCCCACACGAGAGTTCAAGGTACGGCCAATCATCTCAGTGTAGAGGGCCCGACCGATAAAATCGCTTGGCTTCTCAACCTAATTTTGGTGCAGTTAGTGAAGTATATTCCCGCGCATCTAAGTAACACCAACAGGCTCCTCGAACGCCTTTGCTCGTCACAATTTAGTCCCAATTGCATCATCGAATCTTTTGACGTCACATCACTATACGCGAATGTATCGAACGATGCCGCATTACAAGCTATTTGTGAGCTGCTGACGGAGCTCAATACTCGCTCAACCTCTACGGATTCAACATAAGTGCTATCATGACGCTTCTCAATGCATGCCTTGAGTGCACTGTGTTTAAATGGTCAAGGTATTACTTTCGACAAGTTAGAGGTTTAGCAATGGGGCAACGACTGGCACCAACTCTTACAATCACATTTATGTCCAAGATCGAGGCGCCAATACTAAAGCGCAACCCACTGCTGTATTGTAGATACGTAGACGACTGCTGCATAGTACGTTCTATGCAAGCAGAATTAAATCTTTGTTTTGATATTTTCGCATGAGAGGCCCAACGAAGAATGGCTAGCATACCTTAACGTCGAGATTCACCTGTCGAAAGGAGAGTATAAAACTAAATGTTATTGTAAATCTAGCAGTAAAAATATTTTGATACATAACTTATCCGCACCCGAGTATCATCTAGTCGTGAAGAACGCTTGCATTCTATCGGTAACGCAGATAAAATCGCAAAACTGAACAGCCACGTAGGCAAAAAGTCTGAAACAGCGCGCGGTTGCAAACCAATCTGACCAGAAGGAAAATGATAAAATAGCGTTTTGTGTGGCATTCATCTCTGATGAGTTTAGCAATAAGTCCGCCGTTGCTTGAAACAAGCTGATTTGCAAATGTCAGAGTCGTTGACATACCATCCGCGAACCTTGAGAAACGCCTACTACGAAATCGCGCTTACAATCGCATGTGCTTAACCCCGAACTGCGTGATCTGTCCATTCAGCAATGGCGGTGATTGTATAATTAGTGGCGTAGTTTATCTCATAGAGTGCTTGTCATGTAGAGATATCTATATGGAGAGACTGGATGGCCTTTTTGTTGCCGCATAAAAGAACACTTGGGCGGATTACAAAAGTCGAGATTATCTACACCGTTGGATTCGCACGCGTGACGCGCCATAGTGGTGCAACGTTTCAAATTGGAGTAAAGATACTATCATTCGAGCCTGAGACCCTAGCCCGCAAAACTTTCAAGGCGTTTTGGATAAGCGCGAAAAATTCAAAAATGAATTCAAAAGAGGAGTGTATCGCCATAACGCAAGAGTTATCAGCTTATCAATTCTTATGTGGATTCGAATCTCAGCACATATAAAAAGAGCTGAGGAGCTTATCTTGTTATAACGTGTTTGCTACAGCTCTCGTGCCTTGTAGTCATCTAAGGTTGGTTTGCCTACCGTAACCACTCGAATACGACTCTGACTCTTTTGTTGACGTCTGAGGGAAAAGATTGCTTTGACTCGATCTTCCAGGTTCTGACGAAGGCGAAATCGCCGAAACGTTAACCGATAAAGAATTCGTAAAAATCTTGACTATTGGCTGAAATAATACCATACACAATTATGGCCCGTAGTAAACACTCCTCTCAGCCCAACTGGGCTGGGGGCGGGCCTATGTTGAACATAGAGCGCCTCAGTCCGGCATCAGGTGAGCCATCAATCCGGATTCGGATCGCTTTTCAGACCCAACGATCTTGTGCGTTCTCAAAAAATAAACCCCTTGATTGTTTTGGTCGAGAGGCTAAGTGCATGGGTTTCAACGAGAAAGTCCATGGTTCAAAGCCGGCTAGTGGCACATTTTTGCGCCACAGCAGGACAATCTTTGATAGCGGCCGCTATCGCGAAAAATCGATGGCGACTGCTGTAAAAGATATCGCCAAGCAAACGATGGATAAAACAAAACTACCGCATTTTGGCGAGGAATTCATGGGAAACGAAAATTTTTGAGCATAGAGCAAATGAAAAAAACACAAAAAAATCCTTGTTTCAAGCAATTTTTGAAGCATAGTCAAGCTCTGAAAAAAAGAAGAAATCCAAGAAATCCTCTTCTCTCGTTTTTTCGCCGCAATCAGCTGTTCATCGATCCTCATCGACTCACGAGCAACTTACGGGAAATTTGTCTGATCCTCCTCTTAAGCACACTATTTCTCTCGGGTCACCCTAAAATTCAACCTCGGATAAGTGGCATTCTGGTGAACTGACTGTGACACTTGACCAGACAGTCTTCTGACTGTTGAACTGACTATCCTAAAGCACGGGAAGGTGGGCGGGATTAGGGTCACCCGAGAAAGTTCTTCTGAATGACTAATCTCAAGTCACCTTAGATGAATGGGGGTTTACTACGGGCCTATATTATATACCAAGATTGAAAGAAGCCGAACATGGAAAGATTCTCACGCTTTCTGAAAAAAGTCATCATACCAAATTATTCAGTCATCATACCATTACCAAATTATTGATTCAATAGTCATCATACCAAATTACGCAAAATGCATCTAATGAGAAGCAACTACTACTTATTTTATCACATATGTGCTGATATCGTGAAAAAAAGAAAAAATTTTGTTAGAAGAAAGAAAAGAGATTAATGCAACCTAAGAAGCAGAAACGAATGTGAACGACAACACAAATTGTGATAAAGCGCTGTTTCAAAGCCGATTTTGCAGAAAGAATAAGCAATCAGACATTAAACCTCATAAGAACTGACCTGGAATTTTGGTATACATGTAAAAGCAGCATTTCAAATCACCTTGAGTGCGAATGCGTAGAAACGAACTAAACCAGTCGAGTAGTTCCCATTTGGATCATTTCAAAAAAAGCTCCATGGCCGCAAATAGGATGGGGACGTCGCTGGATAGTGTGTGCAGTGACACACATGATCATATGAAATGATTCAATTGTACTCACAAGGGAAGTTCACTTAGTCGAAGTGGCGATTCGGAAGGAGATCTATACCAGTGGATAGAGCTTTGAAAGATGATTTCAGGTATACCTTCTATATCTGCGATGCGTTGTTCTGAGAAAAGTTATGAGCTTTTCTAAAGCCAAATTTTCGTGCATTTTGAGTCCCAAAATCATGATAATCCCTATATAAAAGTGTGCAAGCTTGAGCAAACCATCTAGTAAGCATTGTAGGTCTAATTCGAGTTCATCCGAACGTTTTCGAATGTTTTCCGACCATGTCGTTTATTCATAGGCCGTCATTTCCTTCCTAGGTCACACTTCC